AGCATGTCTCTACTGAAGAGAATCCAGCCGATTTATGCACAAGAGGGGCCACGCCCTCAGAGTTAACCGAGTGTTCCTTGTGGTGGAATGACCCTAGCTGGCTGACAGATGATTTCAGTAAGTGGTCAAAGATGAAAGTCTTGGATAAACCCAGTGAAATGCCAGGGATGAGAAAGTCGAAGAAAAAAGAAGACGTAAATGCCTATGCAACCCTTATGACGTGTAATCTCCAGAAAGGAACCGCACCGAAACACAACAACACACTAGAAGGGTGGAGACTAGATCCGAAACGGTTTTGCAGTTGGACGCGTTTGGTTCGAGTACACGTGAAAGTGAGAGGAGTATAACAAAACATCTGTTACAGAGACAACAGGAAGGAAAGTATGGAACTGTTGCCCGAAGAAATAAAGGATTCTGAGGGAGAAATAGTGGATTTGGCCCAACGCGGAGCTCTCTGTAAGGAATACACAGCTTTGAATTAAGGGAAGTCGATGTCAAAGAAAAGCCAGTTGATAAAGCGCAACCCATGCATCGACGACTATGGAGTTATTCACAGTGATGGTCGATTAAAGTTCGCAGGTTTTCTATCATATGATACCAGATTTCGACCCATTCTGCCTAGTGGACACTGGCTGACGTTCGTCTGTTAAGCAGGCCAAGCTTTAGATATATCTTTTTACAGATATAATCCTGATGTTGCATCCATGTGATTGCACTATCCATGTGGATACCCAAGTACTTAACTGTGCTAACTTCCTTAAGATGGTGATCGTCAAAGCGGATGTCGATGTCCTCTGATCGTCGTAAAGCAGGACGTGAACCAATCTTCATTGCCACAGATTTGCCAGGATGTGGTACCATTTGGTTCTGTGTCAGCCAATCACTAACATTCTTCAGGTTTTTATGAACACAATTCGCGGCGTGAATAGCGCTTGGGTCGCTTGAGTGAATTTCTGTGTCGTCAGCGTAAAGCGTACATTTAGAAAATTCTATAGCTGATTTCACACGGTCATAATGTATTGAGAAAAGGGATGGTCTAAATACAGAATCCTGCGGCATTCCATAACATAAGTTCAGAATATCTGAGCTCGAGCCCTTACAGACAACATACTGTTAACAGTGTTCTAGATAACTTTCAAACCACTTATGTGTAATTTTAGTTACACCAGCATTTTTTAGCTTTGAGAGTAATATCTCGTGGTTAATTACATCAAACGCTTTGCGCAAATATCAGGCAAATATCTTTAATTTGTGAAAACTTTCAATAATTTGAGAATCTAGAGAGAACCAATTAAAACTGGTCTATGAATAGTGTAAAATGAGGATCCACTTACAAAGTTATAAGTCTAAGACACCGCTTCCCCATAA